TAAAAATTACGAAAACAGACCTTCGTTGGAAAATAACACAAATACAAAACGACATGCCAACAATAAGAATTTAGCTGAACTAGCAAGCCACACCACCGCATGATCCATGTTCTAGCACGTGGAGAGAAGGCTCGATCAGCATAAACTCGATGAGGGAGAGTTGGCAAGGGACGCCTCGGTACTGCAATTGTAATTGAGGGTACGAGTTCATAAAAAACGAAGTAAGTTGGCTAGCAGGTCAGTAGTAGGCCGGCATCCGTGAGTGCTCAATGCCAGAAGTGCTGGCGACCGGACAATAATTACGCGGCATCAGTGAGCGCGCTATTGTATTCCGACAGGACAGTAGTACCGTATAAGTGCCGGGTAGTTGGTATCTCGAAAAGGCGTATTCATTAGGTAGGGCCTAAGTACGCGAAGGTAACTAAACATATGTACTAACCCAGGGGCATATATAATAATCGTAGATTGTCCACCCTTTAATTTTCTTGCTAAGGTCTCTTCTCGTCTCCCTTCGCGTCTAAACGAACCATAATTAGTTATAACTGATATCTTGTTATCTTAGTTGTAGTATACAGTTTATTTAATAAATATTGGTATTTTCTTATTAATAACTTCCTCTTTCAATATTGGTAACCAAATCCTACTACATTCTGCCGAGGAATTTGCGACACAATTGGCCTCATTTACCATAGTTAGAGCCGCTTCTTTGATTTTTCCTTTTTTACCATCCGTTTCTTTAAAAAAAAATCAAAAGAAGCGGCTCTAATTATGCTAAATGAGGCCAATTGTGTCGCAAATTCCTTAGCAGAATGTAGTAGGAGAAAATTTGTTTAATTTACTGTTAGTATTTTGAGAACGATTTCCGAAGTGGAAATTAAAATGTCAATAAACGTATTTTTATCTTTCATTGTGGCTTATTCCCAGTTAAATATTAATTAATTTAAAATGCCACAAGAAAAGAGCTTCAGAACAATATATTCTTCATTATCTCAAACATTAAAACTACTAATTTCGGAATGTGGTATGTCGATAAAATTAGAGCTGATACAAAAAAACGGAATCCATATTTGGATTTATCGCTCCTAACATAGTAAAAATCAGCTTAAAGATTCACGGCACCAAAACAAAAATTTTTTCTGTATGCCTGTGATCCGAGCTATAAATATCTTCATCACTGTTTGCTGCGTCCTCACTCAATTAAGGTATGATTTGATCAAAAACAGCAAGTAAAGATTCTGTTGACACAAAGGTATTTCATTGACATTTCTTGAACTGCTGTGCAGGTCTTACCACACTCTTGTATATGTTTTCTTTCGACTCTTCCTCGGTTTTTCGATCCCTGAGTACCCCGCTCATTCGCGTCCAGTTAAAATAACCAGCTGGCATCCTGTGGGCAATTTCTCGATCTAGTTTCCCATTTTCCGTTTTGTAAGAACCAATGTATTTAAATTCTATTCTCCTATAGTGTATTTTTATGTATGAGAGAGTAATAAAACAATAAATTATGTATGCAAATTCCTAAACTGTTGATACGGGTGACTCAATGAAAAACAGATATTTGTCAACAAGTTTACAGAAGTATATAGGAAAACAATTTTAAATTGAGTATGACCACCAGGTATAAAGGTTGGAGCAGAATAGAATACAATAGTTGTGAGGGTTACTAATCCCTAAATAAGGTTGCCAGTGTCGGAGTGATGGAGGTTAACAGGTACTAATGAATTTGCAAGAAATGTAAGATGTTTATTTTATTGGTTATATATAACCAATAAAAGTTTAATAAGTACCTACCTATTTGCAAAATAAAGTTTAATTCTTTAGATAAAATAAAACGTTTTATTTTATCTGAAATGAGTGCATTCCACGAAGGAAGGGTTTCAACAATCAAACATTTAATTCTTTAATTCCAGGAATCTACGACAGTAATTGACTAGATAATTACCTTCTAAACTTATTCCACAGAAAATGTGATAGTGGGTTTTTCCATTTTGTAGGAAGGTCCAAGTGGCGTATTCAAAATTCTTAACAGTTCACTAAAAGTAGGTACTTCAGTTGCAAGGTGCAGTTTATTGTGTATACTAGTGTTATGGAAAATTTGGAAGTGCCGTGTAAACGCCGAAAAATTGGTCCTTTAACAGTTAATGAAAAAACATTAATATTTAATTGTTTTAAATCATTTACAGACAAACGTTTATGTGAAAGTGTTGATGAGACCGTTGAGTTAGTTAGCAGTACACTTGGTGTTGGGAAATCTACGATTTACAGAGTTATTAAAGAAGAGAAATGTGGTAGTTTTCAAATGCCACGTAATGCTCCAGGGAAACCAAAATTTCAAATAGAATATCATTTTAAAGAAACTTTTAAAAGAAATAGGCTTCCGCTGGAAGAAGAATCCCAGAAAGTCTATTTTTATTAGAAAGAAGCGATATTGTAATATGGAGAAGACATTTTCTAAGAACCATAAAGGAAATGAGAACCAAAAAAGAAAAATATTTTATCTTGATGAAACATGGATCAACGAGGGTCATACACCAAATAAATTTTGGCAGGATGAAACTGTTACAAGTCAAAGGCACGCTTTTGTAAATAACTTATCTACTGGTTTAAACCCACCATCAGCAAAGGGACGCAGGCTGATAATACTACACATTGGCAGTTCAGACGGTTTTGTTGAAGGTGGTTTATTAACTTTTGAATCAACTCGTACCGGTGACTACCATGAAGACATGAACGCTGATGTCTTTCAAGAATGGTTCGAACAAATGATAGATCTTCCTAAGAACTGTGTAATAGTAATGGATAATGCAAGTTATCACTCCAGACTTATAGAAGGACTGCCCACAACCAAGTGGTTAAAAAAAGACTTGCAGAATTGGCTGAGTTCAAAAAATATTACGTACCATCCCGAATCTATAAGAAAGGAACTTTATTCGTTCTGTGCCCTTCATAAAGAAAAATTTTAAAAATACGAAATTGATGAAATTGCCAAAACTCGTGGAATGACAGTACTTAGATCCCCACCATATCATTGTGAATTAAACCCGATTGAACTGGTATGGGCACAGATAAAGAGTGAAGTTTCAAGAAAAAATACCACTTTTAAAATTCATGATGTTAAACAGTTGTTTTTGGAGGCCGTAAATAAAAATGTAAAACCTGAAAACTGGGAAAAGGCAGTAAATCACACTATTAAAGAAGAGGAAAAAATGTGGAAGCTGGACAATATTACTGATAAAATGATCGAGCCAGTTATTATAAATCTTGGTTCTGAAAGTTCATCTTCTGAATCTGATTTGAATTTGTAACAAGTAGCTGTAAGTTTTATATTAATATTTTTATTCATCTATTTAACATACCTTAGACGGTTTTAAAAACTCTTTTTCTCTTTTGTAATTTTTAAAAATTAAAGAAAATGTGAATTTTTTAAAACCCTTTTTAATGTAGGCCAGTCAGTTCTAATATAGTGTGTGATAAAAGAGGTCACTTTTGTTTACATACACATAACACTTTATAACACTGAAATAATTCATTTATTTTTTACAATTATTCAAAGTAACTTTTCAATTAATCTTGAGCACGCCCATGGAGTGGTCGGAGGTACCAGTTAAAATTATGCTAATTACTCTCTCGTTCATAAAAATAAACTATAGTTTTTCTCAAGCAATTCGATGTCCCCAATCATTTCTGTTCTTCCCATATACTCCGTTTTAGAATTGCTAACTTTAAGTCCTCGTTTTTCAATAACACTTCTCCAATCCTCCAACATTTCTGTCTTTGATAAAATGAAAAAGTAGGTCGTTTAATAGACATCGAAATCCAAATTTACTAGTATATTAAACAGAATTTGATGCACTTACAGTTTTATTTTAATTGTTTCTTGAATAACTCGTTGCAGCACTTAACTTTTCACTAGGTTCAATTAATTTATTACACTGGCAACCTTCTTCTTCTTCTTCAGATGCAAATCCACTAATGGATGTTAGCGATCACATTTTCCATTAATTATCTATTTCTTGCAATATGTATCAGAGATTGTATGTCGTTAATCCCTGTCCATTGCCTTATGTTTCGGTGCCAGGACATTTTCTTGCGTCCCATTCCTCTCTTGCCTTCAATTTTACCCTCGATTATTAGTTGAAGGAATTGGTATTTTTCATTTCGCATGATGTGACCTAGATACGCCGTTTTCCTTTTCTTGATGGTTTCGAAAAGTTGGCGTTCTTGGTTTATTCTTTTAAGGACATCTATATTCTAATCTGTTTATATCCCTCGTTTTTAGTATCCAACCCTCTACGTCATATAGCAGCACTGACCACACGTAGCACTTAGTAAACGTAAGTAAATGGACTTAGTAAGTGCCAACCTTCTAAATTATATATTTAAGCAAGGAGCACTATACTACACATCATCATGGCATTACGATTTTCCCTTGCAAAACATGATATTTGTAAGTAAAACGAGAAAATGCTTCTAACACGATGTGTGATAGCCTCCTTTTTCATTCAGACTTACTGGTAATTTCAATTTCACACTTTTAGTGTAATGTTTATGGAATAAAAGTAACCATTTTGTTATCACTTTTATTACAAATCATATAATATAACGATCTATAATCTATTAATATAAATATATATTGGTTAAGTCTTCTAATCTTCTAAGACCCATCGTACCACAGAACGCTTCAACTTAGCCAACTTGTTGTACTTTTTCGCACGTATGTTATCCTGACCACCTGGCAGGTATAAAATCCCACTAAAATGACCTGCTTTTAATGTGTTTTTAAACGAAGTCTAAGATAGATTTCATTTTGAAATACCAACATTCATAGTCATCTCAAATCTATCAACAAGTAGAAATAACTCTATGAATTAGTATGAGACTGGCAACAGTAACTTAAAAAAACTTGTAAGAACCAGCGTTTTGTAGTTTCATAAGTTTCAAATCTTTTACAATTTGTGTGAAATAGTTAATAGAAGTAAATAACCAAATTTGTTTTCCAGGTTGAAATGGGTAGTACAAATGTGCGAGTTGGATCGTCGATATTTGGTTATAGAGCACCTAAGCATTCTTAGAATCTGTGAAATTTTGGATGTGTTATAACTTGTATTGAAAATAAATGCTGTTGATTTAAATTTTGATGTTGGTTTGCTTATTTCTTTACTAAATTGACGAAGACTAGTCAAGAGTGTAATTTTTTTTGTAAATTAACCACTGAATGTTTTATTTAATGGTCACAATAACATTACAATACGCATTTTTATGTGAAATCTTTCAATATGCTTTTAATATGGGAGCAAAGGAAAAACTAAAATTTCAGTTACTTCTCAGAACCTATCAGTAACAAGGTTGCTGTAGAATGGAAAATAACTGATTAGTTTAAAGGGGTAAATAATTTGGCAGAAGTAATACAAAAAGAAATAAAATTAATAGAGTTGCTGGATGTTTTAATCACACAAAATAGAAAAGCAAATTTTTCACAGCAGATATAAAAGCAAAAACTTCGAAACTATCACTACTTCAGTGTCAACCCCAGCATAACGAAACTTACTCCAAGGTACGTAATAATAAAGTGCATGCCTGTACTAAGAATATAAAATACAGTCGACACTTGAGACCTCTATTTGCAAAATAACCTCCACCCTGGCAAAGTTGCCGTAAATCGTAATTTTTTACCCTGAATATATTTGTAAAACCTGGAACCACAAAATTCGTTATCCATAAACTTTGATCACTCAAAATTAGATTTTCGTTGTTAATTTCTTGGCTGTTATTAAAATACTCTTATAGTTAAAGTGGCGGTCTTAGCTTGTGTGGAGGAGGAGCTCTGAACTGAGTAGGGGTTCTTCTGTATTTCACGGAAGACAGACTGGGCGGGGGATGTCCTCGACACGGCACGTCCCGTATGGCTGATAGGGAAAGTTCCTGCAGATATGCAGGACAGGTACGAATAAGGCATTACCAAATAAGTACCCGCGGATCAACTGAGGATATGACATTAGGCAGCAGTAATGTTATTACTGGATTAAGGCTATGGGAAGAAAAAATTCTGTAGGCTTAATTCCAGATACTCACAGGCGTCACTCACATTATGAGTTAAACGGCTGTGATGCTACGACAACAGCAACGGCTGCAAACAGCGCTCATACATAGATTTTAGATAGTTAGGCGGCCAAAAGTCATTTTTTAAAAGTCGAAATAACGGTAAGCTATCAACCGTTTCGGTGAGTCAACAGTTCCACCTACAATATAGTATCCCCTCCACCTACGAACGAAGCGCCGGAGCTGGCCTACTGTCATTCGAATTTGACAGTGAACAAGTTTGTACAATACGTGTTAGTTTTCGACGCTCTCCTAAACTTATAACTTTCTTAAGTGCATTATTCATTTCAACCTTATTGTTTCGTTTTAATTGTAATGGATTGCGATAATACAGGTAAAAACTATTGTTTTTGAAAACATAATAACTCAGTTCACATTATCTATCATTAATTTTGAACACGACAAACATCACCTTGTTCATAATGTATTTTTATACATTAATTTATATTCAATAACTGTTTTAACGTACTTCTTAGTCCGTCCCTGTCATAATTTTTATTATAATAAATACTTGACATATGTCATTAAGTAATTCTATAAAAAAACAGCCGTGCAAATTCGCGCTTTTTTAAGTTAGGCAGGCCTCTTTGAAATGCTCTATGTCAAATATTTCAAAATATTGAGTTTGCGTTATTTTGTATTAAACTCGTTTTTCATTTGTTTCAGGTCTACCTACTGCATCGGGTACTAAAGTAGTGACTCGTCAATATATATTTGACCAATTACAAAGTCAAAATTTACCAACATTAAATGAAAAACTTGACTATTGTGAGAATTTTCTCCTAATGCGTTATGGGCAAAACCAAGAGGCTAAAGATGTCTTCAAACAAAAATTTTCTAATATAAAATCACAAACTAAGCAACGATGGGCAAAATCAAATAAACACCTGAAAATGAATTTTCCTGAAAAAAAGCCAATTGTGGTTAGAGGGAACATTCGAAATTCCTATTGAAACAGTCTTCGCTCAAGGTCGACCACCCAAGTCTTTTGGGGAATTAAGTGAGCGTAGTAAACGAAGGAAGACGGAAGAAATAAGAGCCTCCGTAGGTAATGAAGTTATTGTCCACGCTGCTAAATCTATGTTGCAGACAACAGGACATAGGACCGCCTCAAAATTGCTTAAAGAGATTACCAACTCACCAACACGGGCCAGGAAATATAGAAAAGCCTACAGTAAACTTTGCGACAAGGATGAGCTACCTCCATTGACGTCTCTGCAAGCACTCAAGATGTTAGTTGAAGCTGATCTATCAAGACGGCAGTATGAGATAGTAAGAGCAACAAATCCAAAACATTTCCCTTGCTATGATCTTGTTTTGAAAGCTAAACAAAAGTGCTATCCGCCGAAAGAATCCCTAAAAATTACGTCTAGCTGCGCAGAGAGCAACCTACAGTGCCTAAAGGATCTAACCGTGACACGATTATCAAAATACCTAGAAGATGTACTAATTCGACGATTGAACTTTTATTACCTGCTGACCCAAACAAAGAGTCAGTGGAAACATCTGAACCGGAAGATAATGATTATTAATTTATTTTTCTTTATTGGTAATTCGAGTTTTCATTCATTTGTATTTTGTAACTATTACTGTTTTTTATAACATGACAAATATATTTGTTGTAAAAAATATTTTTTTTCTTTACTACAAATTTTTCTTTAATTTAGGTGAACGTAGAACCAAAATTACCCCAAAAATAATTTTGGCCGCCTAAATCTTTGAAATCTATGTATGTGCAGCGTCTGTTCCCAGAGTGGGCGGCTGAAAGAAAAGAACATAGTACAAGACGTTACTGTCATAAACATGATTTCCGTAGGAAGTGATCACAGAATTGTTAGAGCCAAATCAAAATTAACGCCACAACAGACAGACAAAAATTTAAACCATCTAAAAAGAGATAGATACAGAACGCAAAGAGCAATACATAAACCAGCTAAAAAGAAGTGACATATCACAGCTGAAGGGTTTGCAAGTAGACGAATTAAACGATACAATAACAACAGAACTACCAGAAGCAGGCCTGAAGATTGCTAATAAACAAAAGCGAAAACAACAAAAAATTAGCGCTAAACAGTAATGAAAAATTGTGAACTCCTCCTCGACACAATAAAAAAAAGAACACTTCAATTACTTCTTTGAGACTTCTTGGAAACAAATTCATATCAGGTGGAGACTACAACTGCAAACATCATCATCCTCATCTTTAGCTCGACAATCCTCTGTGGATTCTGGCCTGCTCTACGATTCGGTCTACCATTCTGTTCGGTTTCTAGTAACGTGTTGCCATCTTTTGATCTCTAGTAGCCCTAAGTCAGCCTCAACTCTATCTAACCTCCTATTTCGCAGTCGGCTTCTGCTTCTTTCTACAGGTGTTCCTGGCATTAGCTTTTTAGCAATCATATTGTCAGGCATTCGTATTGTGTGTCCAGCCCATCTACGAGATCTGGTTCATTAAAGAATTGGTATAATTCGAAATTATATCTTTTGCCCACTGCCGTTGATTGTTGATAGCTTCAAATATTTTGCGTCAACGCAAATCAAATTTTCAACAAAACACTTCTCAGTGACTTATTATTAAAAATATAGAAACGGATAGTTTTGGTACTAAATAATTGTCACTATTAACAGGTACATGGCTATTATGAAAAACACTATCATCTTAGGCTCGAATATTTCCAGAAGTCTTCCATACTTCTGCAGAGTCCATGTTTTCTTTGTATATTTCTAGAGTGGAATTGTTTTTGGAGTTCGTAGTATGCCTATTTGTCTTTTTATTTCTTCGCATGATTTGTTGGTAGTAATCACTAGAGAACCAAGCTATGTGAAGCTGTTAACACGTTCAAAGATATGACTCCCAAAAGCTTTTTCCCGTTCCTTATTTGCCCTAGGATCCTTAGTAACCAACATGTACTTGGTTTTGTCTTCGTTGATGACTAGACCGACCTGTTTCGCCGCCGTTTCCAATTCTAGGAAATATTGCTCAATATCTCGCTTTTTACGCCCTATTATGTGATCTGTCTAATTGAATGAATCTGGTCAATTGTTGATTTTTCCGGAGTAAATCCGGCCTAGCATTTTCCAGCTATGCCAACTGTGTAAACTTGTAGCCTTTCGTAGAGAATATTTGCTAGTATTTTGTAAGCAGTTGTTAACAGGGTTATACCTCTGTAGTTGTCACACTGGAGTTGACCGCTTTTTTTATGTAACGGGCATAAACCTTGAAACCATTCACAGGTCATGGTCTCATTTTGCTAGACAATAAGTAAAAGTTTATGCAGTGCTTCTAGCACTGCATAAACGCAGGCAACATTTATAGCAAAGGCGTTGCCACCATTCTTGTACAGCTCACTACAAATTTGATCAGTTCCTGGTGCTTTATTATTTTTAAGCTTTTTAATGGCTTCGGCAACTTCTTCAGTAGTAGGTGGTCTTTCGTTTGGGTTGAATAAATTCCAATCATTTCTATCTGCTACCGTATTATCTGCTTCTTCGATATAATGGCCGTTCCTTATTCGATACAATGGACGTATATATTTCCTTTTCCATCGCTACAGCCCCTATTCTTGACTTTAACTCTTTACTCATTTTATTTACATTTCTGTAGAACTTTCGAGTTTCGTTTTCATTTCTTAGCCATTATGATTTCTGCTTTTTCTTCAAATTGTCTTTTTTTCTATGTAATCTTTTTTCTTTCCTTCTTAGGATCCGGTATTTCTCCTTTGGTCTCTTTGTTGTCTCTCTTTGTGTATCTAGCTTGATTTGTCTATTTGAGGTATGCTCTACTCTTTTTGTTATCTGTTACTTCTTGGCACTCCTCGTCAAACCATTAGTTTTGTTTAACTGGTTTGGTTTTCCCCAATATTTCCGATAACTTCTGTTATGTTTCTACATTTTGTCCACAGTTCTTCATATTTTCCCCCCTTCCAGTCTCTCTATTTTCTCATCCATTTTTCTCCTATACTCTCTCGCAACGGTTTCAATGCGGAGATTATAAAAATTAATTCTGTCTTGTTTTATATGTTTATGCTTCTTTAGGATT